ATCCAACTTATGGTGGTGGTGGTGGTGAAAAGCAGGCCCATCAACGTGCCTGCCCCGTGCAGTCGTCAATGCAGTGCTTGTATTTTCTCTCCCTCTCGCAAAATGGCCCCACGTGCTCCTCGAAGGTCCTCGCCGAGAAAAGCTGCACGCGCCCGGGCGAAGCCGGGAGGTGGGGAGGCGGGGGAAGAAGGATCCCCATACGCCAGCCTGCGACCGCACCGGAGCCCCTCCCCCTCGCGGGGGCGGGGAGGGAGCGGGCTCCTCCACAGGAAGATGGCGTTGTAGGCGAACCCCTCGTAGAGGAACACCACCAGGCTCATCGTGCTCGCGGCCAGGGGGGAGGCGGCGGCGGCACCCGCATGCAAGCAGACAGGGCACAGCCCAGCGCAGCAGGAAATCGAGTCGATCGAGGCTCGACGCGCGGTAGTCTTTGCGCGCTCGCGCGGCCACCCTGCCGTTCACACGCAGGAGCGGCCCTGGGCAAGCGTGACCTTCGGTGCGCGGCTTTCGTGGGCCGCGGGTGAGCCACGTCCACGCGCGCAGGCCCGTGCTGGGGGAAACCCTGTGGGCCCGCACACGAGGTCAACTCCGTTGAGGGGTCACTCTTATGCGTAGCCGACCCTGGAGAACGAACAGCAAGAGGATGTCCAGCAACACGCAGCTTTCTCGACTGGCGGAGCTCGGTCACGGGCACGCCGCCCACCCCAGGCGCGGCCCCGGCCCACTGATCGGCGGTGGACAAACCTCCCTTTGGCAGACCTCCCCTCAATGAAAGTGGCCCGGGACGGAAACCGACGGACCTGGGCCCGCAAAAATGACAGCCGCGACGCCCTCTCGCGAACCGAGAACGGCCAATTCCTCAATCGATGTGTCAGGGTACAGTGGGGGCGTTGACCTAAGGACCTCCAAATAAGGAACGAGGCCCCTTTCTCCCATAAGTTGAACTTCGATTTCCCAGGGGAAACCTCAGGAAAACCGAAGGCAAACTGCAGAACAATCAAGGAACACCGAGCCCCTCCCCAACGAAAAGGGTTCCTTCTTCAGGGCCCCGACTGTAGGAGGTCTATCCACCTCCGAACTGAGGGCCCGCACGAGAGACCAGGGCTCGACCCAGACAGCGTGTCTCGTGTTCGTTCTGCGTTCGGGCTTCTCTTGCTCTACGCTTATCGGCGCCAGCACACTCGACAAGCTGCAATGCGAAGGTATACAACAAAAAAAAACGCGGCTTGAGGTCCGGGGGGCCTCCCCGTCTCAAGCGAAGCCGCGCCCACGTGAGTGCGTCTCTAGTTCCCAGATCCTGTGCAGCCTGTATTCGTGTTCCCTCAATTTGTCTTCGTTTCGCTTTTGCTGCAAGACGGAATTGAATCTAAAACGGCCCACAAAATCGCTAAAGCACCGTTCAGGTCGAACCCTACAAGATACAGATCCGCCCACCCGAAACAACACACTTGGCCAGCGACGGAAAACCGGCGCTGACGCCGACTGCTGTTGCATCGCCATCGTACAGTCTGTGCCCGCATCTCGGTCGGCCGTCTCTGATGGCACCCCCGGCCGGCCCTGCTTGCGTTTGCTCCCCCTTGCCTGTTCTTCCTCTTCCGTCGGGGCTTTCAGCGGATATATAGAAGCCTAGAGTGGAAAGCAGAAGGACATACTAGTGCTATGCGCCCTCCATCGAGGCACTCGTCCGAACCTGCAGAGCACACACGTTCCAGTCCATCCTTACCCAGGCGCTGCCGGCTACGCGTAAAGAGCGGCCCTGGGCGAGCGTGACCTTTGGCGCGCGGCTTCCGGCAGGCCCGCGAGGGGGCCACGCCCGAGCGTGTGGGCCGACGTGCTGGGGGGGGAACCCCTGCGGGCCCGCACCAGGAGGTCACTCCTCGGAAGCCGGGCGAGGGCCGGCGAGCCCGCGGCTGCTACTGCGGAGCTCCGGGAATCGGTTTTGCTCTCCTTCCGGGAAGCAGCCCCTGTACAGTCGGCCTTGATTGGACAGGACACGCGAGAGGACACAAGACCCTTCCGAGGGCCACACTGCCATGGGGGATGTACGAAGCATGGGTCGCGAGGCACAGGGCACAAGGGTACCCTTGATCTGGCAGGGTCCACCTACTAATTCGGGCCGCCTGTAAAGCGGAGCTCCGGGAAATGGTGTTCTTCTCCTTCCGGGAAGCAGCCCATTGACTCCTTGGCGCGCGGAGCTCTGTTTCGGGAATCTGCTTTCCTCTTCCGGGACGACCCCTTCAGCAGCCACGGATCTTTGGGCGCCCGAAAGGGCTACGGACAAACATGGGTACAGTGCCCAACAACAAGTGTTGTCCCAGACCAACAGCGGCCGCTGTTGGGCAGGCGGCCTTTCGCCTCGAATGGACACGGGCCGCGGCGGCGCGAACAGCGAGTCCTGCTCAAAATGAACAGGGACTGCCGCTGGGCATTGCGCCCATTCTTTCCGCACCCATGTCGTTCGTGCCGAGGATGATGTTGCTCCCATCGTACTTAAGGACCACATCCCAAAAATAACTTCGAGCACCCGGAAAAATGTCGAAAGAGTGTCGAAACAGGGTCGGCCGAGTGTCTACCAGGGCCCGACACGTGAAAACCCTCAAGCCACGGCACTTCTTTCTGGTGCCCGAAATTCCTTCTGGTGGTCGAGGCCAAAAGTAGGCTGGAACGTCGTAGGCCGAGGATCTGCCAGCCCTCGCCCAGCTTCCGACCTTCGGGCCGGGCGAAAGCGGGGGATAGCAAAGGGGGGGTTTGAGAATCAGCTCACATAGCTGATTTTCCCGGCGCCTCCCGGCGCCAGGAGGCGGCCATGTCTCGAGGAATGGGCCAAGCGGCGGGGCCGAAACCAGCTGCATGCAGCAGATTTCGTGACCCCCCCTTTCCCAACCCCCCCCTTTCGGTCGGCCCGAGACCTCCGGCGCAGTGCCACTCTTGTGCGTGCCGCCAGCGCCGCGGCCAAACGGGCGCCCGCCGCCGGGCCTCGTCTTCGCGAGAGGTCCGAGCGCGCGCGGCGCCTCCCTGGGGAAGCCGCCGCACAGCTGCGGCAGGAGCTCGACCACAGAGAGACCCTCCACGAGGAACCCAACCTTAGATCGGGCGTGTCCACCTACAGGCGGACTTTGGACGAGAAGTAAAACATGCTCCATCAGATATTCAAGCATAGCCAGCAGATGCTTTCAAACATCGTCCCCAGACTGTTGTTGTACTATTTTTGAATATTCCATTGATTCGCGGGTGTGGGAACGCCACGCAGTCCATCGCAGAACCGTCGAAGCCCGAGAAGCACAGGGCACCCTGGAGGCACGCAGGGTGTCTCTTGGCGTGGGCTTCCACAGCAGAGGAGCGAGCAACGGCATAAACGTGCTTTCTCGGAGGCCCGCGCTGATCTCTTGGATCGGAGCTGGACTTCGGTCGGGCGTGTCCACCTACAGGCGGATTTTGGACGACAAATCCATTAAACTACGCAAGAAACTACTCCGAAGATACTCAACAATACTGAACAAAAAACGTCCCCGCTTTTTTTTTTGGGGGGGGGACTATTTTTGAATATTCCTCCTGTAGAAGGGCGGGCCCGATTTGAAGCTGGAGACCCCCCCTCTCCATGGCCTTGTGGATGCCACGACAATGGGCACCCTGACAGTCCTATCATTGAACTTAACTTCTGTTTAAAATGTCGGACAAATGCTCTAAACATGTTTTAGACATGCTTTTTTTACTTGTTTGAAACATGCTTAACACATGTTTCAGACATCTGGAAATTATTTGGCAACATGCGGAGCGCTCGCCCCAAGGGGGGCGGAGAGCGCCGTGGGCGGCGCCCGAGGGGCCGCGCCGGCGAGGCCCCAATGCCGCTCCAAGAACCCCGCGAGGTCATCCCGGAGAAGATGCCTGCGCGTGCCGGTTGTCGCTCCTCGAGACGAAGAAGAAGAAGAAAAAGAAGAAGAAGAAGAAGAAGAAGAAAAAGAAGAAGAAGAAGAAGAGCGTGCGAGAGGCAGCCGAGCTCAGGGTTCGGAGCTCGACGACAGGGCTCACGAGCGTGACTGTCCAGTTCCCTGGGCGAGCAGACAGATCTCGTGCCAGCTTGCACACTCCAGCCGACAAGAGTCTCCGTGCGCTTGTGGAACTCCTCCCTGACAGAGGCTCCGTCAGTGACCTGCCTGCAGTCAAGTATCGAAGAAAGGTCCAACTTGCCAGAGACCAGATCGCCGAGTCGTACCACGGGTACTGGTGACTTCTTCGGGTCCATCGTTCTGGCCTCCGCGGCAGAGAGCTTGGGGCCGGTCCCATAGGAAGTGGCGGGGTGCCTCCTTCATTCGCATCTGCGCTGGAACCGTCCTCGAGAGCCGCCTCGCTGTCCCACCGTGTGGGGTCGCCTCCATATTAGCCTTCGCCCTTGCCGTTGTCTCCCTTGCCGCCGGCGCCTTTGCCGAGACCAGCGGCACTGAAGCTGCTCCCGTGCTCTCAGCCAGGGGGACCGTGATGAGCCCACTGACCACCCTCAGGACAGCTAGGATTAGGTCGGGCCTGTCCCCCTACAGGGGGATTTTGGACGAAAAATAAAAGATACTCCAGAAATGCACCAAATGGTCAAAGCATACTCCGAAAATCGTCCCCAGACTATTTGTTTTACTATTTCTGAATATCCCCCCCCTGTGGAGGAACAGGCCCGACTGAAAGCCAGGAGCAGCAGATGGCATGGGCAGGGGTGCGGAGCAGCGCTTGCGCACCGAGCGGCTGTGGCACTGTCCCTCTTCGCATCCGCAGGGCGAGCATGCCATGCCACCGAGTCGCTCCTGCCCCCCGCGCTTCCTCGGTGCTCCGCTCGCCGCATTTGCTCTGCACTCCCTCGGCCTCGGCCCAGGGCGCACACTTCCTCCTCGTCCTCGTCCCCGTCCTCGTCCTCCTCCTCCTCCTCCTCCTCGTCCTCCTCCTCCTCCTCCTCTCCTCCTCCTCCTCCTCCTCCTCCTCCTCCTCCTCCTCCTCCTCCTCCTCCTCCCCTGCTGGGGATACCGACCCTCTTTCGCCGTTCGGCCGCTCGACGTCCAGTCCGGGCACCCGCGGTCACGCAGAACAGTACTGCCAACCGAGGCCCGCCCCGCCATCGCCGAGAAAAAAAAGAGCCTCCGCGGAAGAGGGCACGTGCGAGACGCCCGTGCGCACGGAGGCCGCCCCGACGGGGCCGGCCTTCGGATCTGTTTGACCCTGGTGTTCGGTCGGGCATGGCCTATTACAAACGGATTTTCGAACAGAGAAATGCTCAGACATGGTCCAAAGTAGCAGAAACCTCGTCTCCAGACGATCCTTTTTTACTACTCTTCAATGTTCCTCCTGTAGAAGGACGTGCCCAACTTAACCCTGGTGGCCGAGTCCCAGCGAGGGCCGCCCCGACGGGGCTGGAGTAGATGGGGCCAGAGGATCGCACCGCCTCGAAGATGCATCGGCGACGTCAACATGGAGAAAGTTGGGCCCTGGATCGAACCGTATCGCCGATGCATCGGCGACATCAGGGTCGTCGATGCGGCGACATCCTCCATCCCTACCTGCCTCGGGCCCCATGTGGGCGTGCTGGGCACCGACCGATCCAACTCCTGGAGCTGTGTTCCTTGTCCCCCATTGTCTCGAAGATCTCGCGAGGGGGTTGGGAAAGCACCGAAAGAGGAGAGAGAGGAGGGAGGGGGGAGGTGCGAGACAAGCGATGGCTGTTGACCTGCCCGCAGGCCAGAAAAATGTGCAGAGGCTTCATCGGGGAACAGGACAATTACATAAACATCAACCTTCGGGGGTCCGCTAAACTCCTCTCTCTGGCGTGGAGCGCGCCAAGGGCAGCGCTGGAGGCGCCGCGAGGGGGCTGCAACGCCGATCATATCGATCCGCGCGGACATCCGACCATTTATGTTCGTGGTATTTTCGCTGTTCCCCGGAAAGTATGCAGCGGCTTGAGCCGTCCGATGTGGCCTCGACCCGGCAGCCCTCCCCATACCCTCGCTGGCCCCGCCGCACCTCCCTGGTCCCTGGGAGGGCCGCGGCTGTCGAGACTCGAACAAAATCCCAGAGCAGCGCCCAAAGTCGACATGTCCGCGGCGCCTCTTAGGGCGAGCGCTGACTACGAGGTGGCTTCTGCCAGAGAGAAACAATTGTCTGCCTGATTCCCAGTGGCCATGCAATACGCAATACACTGTGCGCTCCACGCCGATTGCGAGTACGCTTCCATCTCGAGGTAATCAGGCGCAGCCCAGGAAGGCCATGGTACTCCTCCAAGGCGCCTGGGAAAATAGTTCACTGAAGATGCCGGCGATCCCGCGGTCCGGTGGCGTCCCTACTCTTTGTCGCTGCGGTGCTGGCACTCTGAGCGCAGCTGCCGAGAAACATGCGAGAACTTCTCATCGGAGTACGACATGGCACGGGCGAAGCCGATGGCGTAGTCCTCGTCGACCTGCTCCTGCAAGATGTCCTCCGCGTCAGGAGTGTGCCAACCCCTGTGCAGACGCCTGATCCCTCTCCTGGCAATCGAACTCGATGGCGACGGCCCCGGATTGCAGCCCGCTCCTGGATAGATGATACTGAACGCGCGTGAGATATTCTTTACTCGTTCGGTGCTGCACGGCAGCGAGTTGTCTTTGCAACCAAGGTCCATCATTGCTTTCAGGAAGTCCTCGTACTTGATGACGTCGTCCCCCTCCTGGTTTATCTGGTGAATGATATCCTCTGGCCTCAGGCCCATGTACGAGTGACCCAGGACCTCCTGCAGGTTTTCCTGCGAGATAACTCCCGAATGGTCGGTGTCGAAGCGGTCGAACGCCACCCGAAAGAGCTTCTCCTCTCCCAGGGTATGGCGTGGCGCCGTGGCGGCCAAGAACTCGCTATAGCTGATGTGGCCGTCGCCAGCGAGGTCGAGCCTGCTGAAGAGCTCCCTGGCGTCGTCGTCGCTCATGCCGAGGTGCTCCTTGAGAGCGTCGGCCAGCTCGTTCATCGAGATCGTCCCTCTGTTCTGGGCGCCGAGCATCTTGAACTGTGCCTCCAGGCGGTCCGTCTCGCAGCCGGACATTGACGCGGTAATGAGGCCGTAGGCTGTCCGCTTGATGACGTTCATGGAGGCGAACGACCGCAGGCTCTCCAGCACCGAGACGTCGATCTGCTTCGCGACGCGGTGCGGGCCATCGAGCTTCTGCAGCCAGGGGTGCGCGGCCGCTTCCTGGGCGCCGGGGCGCACGGCGGGGTCGCGGGTGAGCAAGCGCGAGACGAAGTCACGCGCCTCCGCAGACACGTTCAGCCACGCGGGCCCGTTCATCGTAGCGCCGTCCCCACTAAGTATCTTCCCGAAGATGGTATCGTCGTCATCCACAAAGGTCCCGAATGGCGGATAGCCGCTCAGGAGCATGTGGCAAATCACGCCGATGCTCCACAAGTCACACTTGAGGTCGTACTCCCTGTTGAGGACCTCTGGCGCCACATAAAAAATGGTTCCGAGTACCGCCATGAAGGGCGCGTCTGGATTCATGAGCTCGGAGAAACCAAAGTCGATGAGCTTGAGGCGTGCGTTGTCGGAGGGGTCTGCGAAAACCCAATTCTCCAATTTCAAATCCCTGTGAGCGATGCCCTTGCTATGCATATCCACGACTCCCGTGTGGAAGCGACCAAGCTGCGAATAACAATGTCCACGCCGCAGAACAAGTTAGTTACCCGGCCTTGTGCGATGATGATGGAATGAGCTATGCGGCCGAAGATCGCCACAAGAAGGCACCCAAACCCCCGAACGAGCCCCACGAGAGCCCCACTACCTCCCTAACCGCCCAACGATGGCCCATGAGACAGTCCCAAGAGGACTCCCAAAAGACCCCGAGATAGCCCCCAATGACATCCAATAAGGCGCTCACGTCAAACAACCCGCGAAGGCTTCCTCCTCGCACTCCCATGCCGCCTCTCCCCTTCCTCCTTCCTCATCGTCCCTGTCCTCCTCGTCATATTCCTCTTGCTTCGTCCTTCCTTCTCCTCCTCATGCTGGGCCCGTTTATCCTTCTGCTCCACATCGTTATCCACCGCGTCCTCCTTCCCTCCTTCACCCTCCTCATACAACTCTCCTGGAGGCATCAAAAAAGTTAGCATGCTTCCTAAGTGTTTGCGATTTTCCAGAACAACACAACCAGGAAATTCAAGCCGTTGCCGCCAGGGGGCTACACACAGGCCCTGGCCTACACGCAGAGGGCTGCACACGCAGGACTCTACGCAACTCGCGCGTCACACTTCGGCTTCTTAGGCCTCCACACAGGTCGCGTGGGACTCCACACAGCTGACCTCCACACAGAAGCGGCTCTGCACACGCAAAGTTCCCGCACATCGGACTCGACACCCGCGTGGCTTCCCACGTGCAGGGCCCCACACGCATAAGGCTCCGCATACAGGGCACTACGCAAATGTGTGAGACCCCTCAGACCCAGGGTTCCACACAGAAGGCGCACGCACAGGCATCCAGACGTACTGCTAAGCACACACTGGCGTCCACCAAACATAGGGTTCCACGCGATCGGGGTTCCAGGCATAAGATTCCACACGCACAGGGCTCCACACTGAAGGCTCCACACATGGGCTCCCACACACGGTGGATTCCACACACTGGGTTCCACACGCGAACGGTTTCTCGCACATGGGACTCCGCCTATAAAGGGTTCCACAAGCACGGTGGCTGTCGAAAACGATGTCTTTATTTATCTTTCTCTCTCTTTCTGTCGGTCTCTCTCTCTCTCTCTCTTTCTCTCTGTTAAAAAATTGGTTGTTATGCGATGACATACGTGTTTCCATCACTTGTTGTACTTCCGCCGTCATCCGCCATATGGAATAATAGGTGTGCGATACACATGCCTATCTACGTATCCATGCAGATGGATAGATACAAACTCGCCCTTGGGCAACTGTCCACCAACCTTCCGCCGCGTGTAACATATCACGGCATGCGCGTCTGGCGCCTCCCGCAAACCTTTCGTAACCTGCCGCCGTGCGTCCTTAGACTGCTGCGCGTTCTACAGTGCGCATGTGCCCGTGTAGTCATACATCCAAGCACATCTCACTGATTTAGTGAAGCACCTCACTCATGCATTCAAACGCGCTCATTCGCACACTGGACCGCATTGTGCGCAACCTTGTGTAACACACGCTTCGCCTACACATAATCAACACACTCCAGTCATTTCAAGCCGGCATGCCGGCTACTACTTTTCAGCAAATTATGTTGTAGGCTACGCCTGGCGAAGACGGCGTTCTGACCAAACTTGTGCAGCACATCGTGTTATTGCAAATTATTGCTGTCAACATTCGCGTCACGACCAAGCTTGTGCAGCAAATTATGTTGGTGCAATGTCCTGCTGCCGAAGCGTGCGTTATTATCAAAACTATTGATGAAATTCAAGGTACACAGGAAACTGCTATGCACACCGTTGTCAGGACACAGTTGTTTAGCAAACTCCGTTACTGCAACTTCCTGCTGTCGATACTCGCGTTCCCACCACATGTAATGAACAAATTAAGTTTCTACAGGCTGCTGCGTGAAAGCCTGCGAGCGGACCAGAACAACTCAAACTCAGAAGATGTTGCTGCTACGAGCTGCTGCTATTGGAGCAGGTCTTCCTGCCAACGCTATGTAGTAAATCGTGATGCTGCGCGCGCTTGCAGTCGAATCCAACATTCTCACTCACGAAACAACTCTGCTGCTGAAGGGACCTTGGCCTCATCCAGCGCTATTCAGCACATCTGGTCTACACAGGCTGTTGCTGCGCAGGCTGGCGCAGGGACCACAGTTTTACATGACATCCTCTCTATGCAAGCTGATTCTGTCGAAGCCAGCGTTCTAGCCATTCTCAAATCACTGGCTATGGCAGCTTGCTGCGGGCTGCTGCGAAGCCAACGCTCCGAAAGCTCGCCCGACAAGAAGCACTGGTTTCGAGAGCAGCTTTTTTCCCCCCCCCTCTCTCTCTCTCTCTCTCTCTCTCTCTCTCTCTCTTTTTGAGGAGAAACGAGGGCAACGAACGAGGATAAGATAGCAAAGCACAGCGCAGGATCATGATCACCTCTCTCCCCTCTGATGACCGCTCCCTTGCTCGAGATGATCTCGAGCATCCTGCGGCAGCCCTGCCCGGTGCCCTGTCAGGTTCCAAGACATCTCCCCATATTTTCCCATATTTCCTGGGTTTCTGTCTTCCCCCCACTTCCCATATTTTTCCATACTTTCTGGGGGATCGACGATTCATGGTGTCTGTGTGTCCCTCCTGAAGGATGCACGCCCGAACCGAACACTCTGCCGCGCTCGGCCCCCGCCCCCGCCGGGTCGCAGAAGGGAGGAACAGGCAACCAGCAACAAGCGAAAACGGACGAGCAGTCGGCAACACCGACGAGAGCAGCGCAGAAACGCGCAATCCATCGATGACGACGAAAGACAGTGCAAGAACACACGGGCAAGAAGAAGCAACGCCACACGGACCGCAGGACCTCAAGCACGAAGAGATGGAACCGTACAAAAGACGCACAACCAACGAAGCCAGACGAGTACTGCTCGGTCGGGGGCGGGCTGGATCCAGCAAGCGTTGAACAGGGACCGACCGTCCCGGCATTCCTATAGTCATACCACGAAATCTCCCTAGAACCCAAACGTGTTCCAAGAGCAAGAACAATGTTCTCAGAACATAAAAAAACAGTGTGTTATAATGAGACGGTCCCAGCCAGAAATGCTCTGAGAACATTCCGTGGGAACCACGAGAGGTTCTTAGAACACTGTTCTCGAGAGCGGCCAAGAGGGGGGTGTCCAAGAGGGGGGGGTGCAAATCATGACCGGCGGCATGTGCGCGGCCCAGCGGGGGGGCCAGGGACGTAATGAAATAAGAAGAGGCGCCACGAAATCTGAGGAAATCTCATGGCCCGCGCCATGATATCCACGCCCCCCTAGTCATCACCCCCCTCTTTTCCGCTCCCGAAATCGGTGGGGCCATCAGCGAACCGGGACGCTTCGCCACCGCTTGGAAAGCCGCCGGGCCAGCGGATATTCAACGGCGGGCGCACCCGTGGCGAGCTGGGGCGGCGGGGCGCCCGGCAGGCCGAGGGGACGGCCGGAGAGCCCTCGGGCCGTGCAGGCCCTCGGGCAGTGCCAGGGGGGGCAGGTTTAGAAGCAGGTCGGGCCTGTCCCCCTACAGGGGGGATTTTGGGCGATGCTTTTTCCTTGTTTTTTGTCATTTTTTTTTGTTGGGGGGGGATCCTCAGACAAAAAAGACCCAATAGGGCTCCAAAAATACCCAGGAGTAGTCCAAAAAACGTCCCCCGACTATTTGTTGACCATTTCTGAACATCCCCCCTGCAGAGGGACAGGCCCGACTTAAGCTTACAACCGCGGCTCCAGCACGCACACAGACAGTTCCTGCGTAAACAACATCACAGGAGCACACACGAGGCTGGCGCAGCAAGATACAGCACAAGCAGACAGCGCCGTGCGACAACGCACGAGCCTGTCCCCTTGTTGGGGGTCGGAGCGTCGGACCTCTCGGATGCACCGAGTCAGAAATGGCACCGTACCGTTGGAACTTTGTCGAGGGACCTCCACTTCGCAACGACCCTTAATATGGAATGTTCGGCCCTCAGCAATGGGCCGTGTACGAGCTCCGAACGGCCTGAGGCGCTGGGTGAATTTCCTCGGTCCCACGACAGTGGCTCGGAGTCCAAGCTCATCTTAGCTGGACCGGTGGGACCGTCCTGAAGCAGTCTTTACACATCGCCGGTGGGCAGAACATGCTTGCAAATGATTTGCAAATGGCTCCGGTTTAATCCAGCACTTGGGGGCCATACGGTTAACTTGGCGCTTCCGATTCCATCGTGAAGCGAAAGTCTTGTGGAGCATCTCTTAGGGACCTTCCGGAATACTCTTTGACGCGCACTGTAACCTCTTGGATCGTTGAGGACTCTCGGGTCGTCTTCTGCCTCCTGTGCCGTCTTTGGCTCCTCGTGGGGTCTCCAGTGATTCTTGCAAAGGCCCGCCCACTCGCAGATACAAGCACCTCCGTTCTTTCAATCCAAGCGGTAACCGCTTCGCGCTTCCCGTCGTGCGGTGAATCCGCGCTCCAACGATCTCATGTAAAGCGCTGGGGGTACGCGCCCCCATGGCCAAAGTCATCTGCCTTCCACTCGCCGTCACTCGGACGTCCATTCCCCGTGCATGCTTCGATTTCGTGCCTGCTTGTTTTGCTCGACGATGCAGGGTGCTCCTCAATGGGCCCCGCCGAAAAAAACGCACACGTCCGAGCGGTGCCAAGTCTCCTCTCGTTGAAGGCTTAAGGACTTGTTAGGGGACCACATGCGAACCCTACCCCTACCCACCGCGATTTCCGAGGGGGAGGGTGGGGGTCACTTCGTTCGGGAGCTCCCGAGCGAAGGGACCCCCACCATCCCCCTCAGAAATCGCAGGGGGCAGGGGTAGGGTTCGCACGTGGCCCTCTGCTTCTGCCGTCCCTCGACTCGCGCTGGAGCGGCCGCGATCTGCCCCACGACTTCCTGGAGATCTCTGGAGTTACCTGGATCTGCCCAGATTTACCTGGACTTGCCTCGATTCATCCGGCCCGATCCCCACAGGTCGATTGGCGGAGCGTCGCCAGGCCCTCAGAGACCCTGCCCTGGCCACTCCTCCGCCCTCGCAGCCCCTCTCCCGCTCCCTCCCCTGCCCGCCCGGGCCCCCTCTTCCTCTCCTGGCCTCCTCGCCTCCCCTGGCCTCCTCCCGCTTCTCCTGGCCCCCTCGCCTCCCCCGGTCCCCTCTCCTCCCGTCGTCCTCCCCCTCCCCTCCCTCCCCCCCCCCCCCCCCGCAGACGAAGCCAGGACGAGGATAACATCGGGTGAGGACAGGTCGAGAGTCTTGGGCGGCTCTGGAGAGTACGTCGGGCGCCGGGGCCTCCTCAGAGCGTCCTGGGACGCTCCGAGAGCGTTCTGGAGCGCTCTGGAACGGATTTGTCCTAGCCCCGCCCGACCCTCCCCTGCCGCTCTTGTCCCCTCCTGCCCGCCCTTGTCCGCTCCCCTGCCCCGGCCCTCACCCAACAAACCGACCAACCAACTCACCAACCAACCAACCTGCCAAGAAACAAGCCAAGCGTCCAGCCCACCATCCAGACTCTCAGCAGGAACCCAGCCAACGGCCCAACCGGCCACTCGCCCATTCAGGACTGGGGGCCAGCGGCACAAGGGACCGAAGTCTTCCAGATAACTTACCGCGTCCAACATTTGCGCTACCAATTCGCGGGTGTCCTGCTCGGTGTACCTCCCGCGCGCCTCCCACCGATCACACAAGTCTCTGCCAGTGCACATTTCCATCACGAGGTGGCATATGCCCTCCTCCACGTACACCTCCAAGAGCCGGCAGATGTTCGGGTGGTCGAGCTTGAGGTACACGTCCATCTCGTTCAGCAGAGCGTCGCGATCCTCGTCCTCCTCTATAGGAACAATTACTCCGACGGAAAGACCCCACATGATAATATGTTTAGCTTGCCTAGGGGTATGATCTTGCTCCCTCTTCCTGCACCCTGCTATTTTCTCCTTCTCCCCTTGCCTCGTCCTCCTGTCTCCGCCTCTTTCTGCCTCCTCCTCCTCCTCCTTCTCCTCCTCCTACTCCTCCTCCTCCCCATGCCTCCTGCCTCCTGCCTCCTCTTGCCTGCTGCTGCTGCTGCTTCTCCTCCTCCTCCATTTCTTCCATTTCCATGTTCATTTCCATGTCCATTTCCTCCTCTTCCTCCTCCTCCTCCTGCACACACTTGTACTTCGACTCCTACTCCGGGCTCCTCCTTCTCCACCTAATCATTCTCTCCCTTCCTCCTCCTCCCTCCTCCTCCTCCCTCCTCCCTCCTCCTCCTCCTCCTCCTCCTCCTCCTCCTCCTCCTCCTCTTCCTCCTCCTCAGGACTCCTGCCTCCTCCTGGAGCCTCCTCGGGGCTCCTGGAGCTTGCCAGGGCGTGATTGGGCCTTCTGAGGCCTTCCGGGGCCTCCTGGGGCACTCCTCTCCTCCTCCTCCTCCCCCTCCTCCTCCTCCTCTTCCTCCTCCTCCTCCGCCTCCTCCTCCTCCTCCTCCTCCTCCTCCTGCCTCCTCCTCCTCCTCCTCCTCCTCCGCCTCCTTTCCCTCCTCCTCGTCCTCATCCCGAAGCTGGCACCGCTGGTCCCCGAGGATGACCACCAGCACTGCATGGGCCTCAAGGAGCCGACGGGCCCGGGCGTGGGGCAGTGGCGCCCGCGGATCTGGGTCACAGAAGGCGCCGAGGGCATCGAGCGCATCGTCAACGTGCTCGACGCGGTGGATGACGGGTCGCCCTGGCCATCAAGCCAGACGGACATCCTCTCCTACAACACGCTGACAGCGGAGGGCGGGGGCACGAGAGATGCCTTGGCCTACTGCCCGAGGTGGTCAGGCTGTGGGAGAAGTGCAGGCGCCGCATCATCGCCAGGTGGGAGGCCCGCCACTGGAGGGACTTCGACTGGTCGAGAGCTGGACGTGGCAGCGGGCGTAGCGCCTGGATGCAGCAACTGTTCTGCGAGGCCACCGTGGCCAGCAATGAGAGCTATGTGATCACCCTGCCCGACCGCATTCAGTGCTTCGAGTACGTTCGCCACCGGAAGGTCTGGGAGGCAGGGCTGTACTGGGGATTTCCCCAGCGTCTGCTGCGCGTCGTCCTCCGCATATGAGCGCGTCTCTTTATTTTCGGCGATGACGGGCGTCATGGAGGGGGGCGGGGGGGGGTTATGACGTACCCCCCCCCCGCCGTGTGGCTCTGGCACCACAGCCGCGCCCACGCGCACGACGACGATGAGCGACGAGCGACGAGCGACGAGCGACGAGGCCGACGACGACAACGACGACGACGACGCCGACGCCGACGACGACTTCGACGACAGCGGCGACGACGACTTCGACGACGACGACGACGACGACGACGACGACGACGACGACGACGACGACGACGACGACGACGACGACGACGGGGGGTAAGTAAAATGGTAGCTCTTCCGCGTGCACCACAGCGCCTCTGCCGCCTCTTGGCCCCGAAATGGCTGGACCCAAAAATGGCGATGTGGAGGACGAGGGGGAGGAGGAGAAAGGGGGAGGAGGAGGAGGAGGAGGAGGAGGAGGAGGAGGAGGAGGAGAAGGAGGAGGAAGAGGAGGAGGAGGAAGAGAGGAAGGTGAAAGAGGAGGAAGAGCTTGCACCGGGAACACAACATCACAATTCCGGACCATTTATGCGGATCCCAGTGCGGGTCCCTATGTGAATCCCTATGCCGATCCCTAGGCGGATCCATATGCGGATCCCTGCGCGGATTCCTGTGCAGATTCTTATGCGGATCCAGGTGCGGATCCCGATACGGATGCCTATGCGGATGCCCATGCGCATTGCCATGCGAATCCCTGTGCGAATCCCCATGCGGACCCTTACGCGGATCCCTATGCGGATCCCTGTGCGGATGCGCATGCGCATCCCTATGCGGATCCACGTGATATTCCCAATGCGGACCAGAGTCCTATGCGGATTTCTATGTGGACACCTGTGCGGACACCCAATACCCACAACAACAGCATCAAGAGCGCACTGGGCGGGGGGGGGAAGGGTTACGTCATAGGGGTGGGGGGGGCGGGGGCCATGACGCCCGTCATGCCCCAGACAAGCGAGAAACACGCTCTATACGGAATGAAATGACCAGGCGGGTGGTGCTGGAAGGCGCTGTCACGAGGGGCAACCAGTGGTGGCAGGGCCTCGTGGCGGGGTCGGTCTTGGCGCCCGCCTCGCTCAAGCGGGTGTTCATGAAGGAGCTGGACGCCATCCAGATGGACAACCTGCTCGCCGATATGTGCCTACTCTTCGACAACCTGTCGATCGCGCACATGGGCGAGCGCGGCTGGGTGGCAACCGGACGTGTGAGGATTGTCCGCCTCGTTATCGACTGCCTGGGAAACGAGCTCGAAATGCCCGTCTCCAGTGGCGAGAAGGGCAAGACAGCGCTGCTGGCCTCATCCACGGTGCTGTCTAAAGATCTGAAACCCATCACCGGAAGCTCGGGATCAGAACTGTGAGCCACGCCAAGCATCTCGGTGTCAAAAAACTGCGCAGGCCGTCGCCGTCGTGTCCGCCGTGCAAGAGCGCGTTTCTTTATTTTCGGCGATAATCGGCGTCATAGGGGGGGACGGGGGGCGGAGGGGGGATAACGTAACTCCCCCCCTCCGCCGTGTGTCTCCCGCACCACAGAAACCTCCTTTTTCTCAATTTTCCAGGATAGCGGCCGTCATCGGCCCGCCCCTCCCCTCCCCCAGATGACGTCACGTTCCGCGCCGGCGGCGTCCAGGAATGCCTAGGGATGACCAAACCCAAGTAGGAGCAGCATGTAGGTGGCGATCTGCCTCACAACGTCTGTGTACATCACAGTGCTCGCGTGCACCGCAGCGCACAAGTACACCACAACCCCTGCATACACCGCAACTGCCGTGTGCAATGCAGCGCCTGTGTACACCACAATGATTGCGTGTACACCGCAACAACCATGTGCAACGCAGCGCCCGTGTACACCACAATGCTTGCGTGCACCGCGACGCCTGTGCACACCACGGCGCCTGTCTACAGCAGAACATCCGCGTGCAACGCAACGCTGGTGTACACCGCAGCGCCTGCGTGCACTGGACAGGTGGACAAACAACATGTAAGTGAGGATCTGCTGCGGACAGCTAAACACCACGCCAGGGAACATTTGATAATACAATGGGGCGTTCTTCCCTCCTCCCTCCTCCTCCCTCCTCCTCCACCTCCACCTCCTCCTCCTCCTCCTCCTCCTCCTCCCTCACCCGTCCCCCCTGTCGTGCGGGTCGGCGCCACAGCGCACGCGCGCATCTCAGCGCGCACCACAAAATGCTCTATTGAATCAATCCACTTGGTACTCGAATGGCCAAGTCAGCTGGAGCCTCCTGGACGCATATGGGCGGATATAGGATGATGCGGGAGGACTCCTAGATTCCAGCGGCACTCCCTTTTCCATAAGGATTCCTTTCTAAATCCTATATGAAATAATTGTTTTCTGTGGAATGCACAGTCGCCCCCTTCCGTCATAAGGATTTTTTTCTAAAGTTATATCTGCAATACTTGCGCTTTGTTGCCCACGGTTGTTGTGGTGCACACCGGCGCCGTGGTGCACACAGGCGCTGTAGTGCACGCAGGCATTGTGGTGTACACTGGTGCTGTGTTGCGCACTGCCGCACTGCTGATGTGGTGTAAGCAGGCGCTGTGGTGTACACAAGCGCTGTGGTGCCCGCAGACACTGTGGCACACACTGGCGCTGTCTTGCACGCGGCTGCTGTGGTGTAGCTAGGCTCTGTGGTGTACACAGGCGCTGTGGTGCACGCCGGCATTGTGGTGCACACAGGCGCCATGGTGCGGATCGCCATTAACATGCTGCTGCTACCCGTCCTCAGTGATTCTTAGGCATTCCCAAACGCCGCCGGCGCGAAATGTGACGTCCTCGGCCCCGTCCCCCACCCCCCGGATGACGGCCATCATCGGCCCAACTGCGTCCGCGCGCAGGACGACGATGAGCGACGAGCGACGAGCGATGACGACGACGACGACGACGACTGCGGACCAGACCCCAATGCGGATTTGTATGCGGACGCCTACGCGGATCCCGATGCGCACGGCGGCAGTACCCGGGGCGCAGTGTGGGGGGGGGCGTTTACGTTATGGAGGGGGGGCTGGGGGCTATAATGCCCGTTAAGCAAGAAAGAAGCACGCTCCAAAAAGAATCTCGAAGTGGAAGGGCCGTGGGAAAAAAGCTGCGATGGTGAAAGAGGCTGGGGGCCAGACGCACAAAGTGGTGGCAGCAGGTGTGGCGCCCTCTATGCTATACGGGTCGAGGGTGGTAGGAGCACCCGCGACCACACTGCAGCAGTTGAGCCAGGCAGTTGCCCGCTCCTTCGGAGGCAGCGCGGCAGGGCGCTCGACGCCACCTGTGCTGTTGGGCGCGAGGGCGCTGGCCCCGGCCGCATCGCGGACTCGAGCGGCCGGTGCATGGAAGGAAGCAGTGAGTAACCCCGCGCTCGCGGACAGCCTATCGGTCGCATGGAAGCGCCGTGGAGCAATCGCCCATCGCAGTCCCAGCGACCTCGGACGCTGGTTCGGGGTCCCGAGGGCGCGCCTCTGGCCACCGCGGACAGGCTGGGCTGGCAATCGCAGAAGCCCTCCTCGCTCACCATCGGCGCGGTCCAGGCAGACCTGCGCCTTGTCGATGCATGGAGGCTGCACGCGCAGGGAGTGCAGGAATGTGAAGCTCGGCTCCAGCGGCAGGGGACCCGATGCTGGGGAGCTAAGGCTGGAATCGCGAAAACCTTGATCGAGCCCGTGCGGGCCCTGCTGGCCAAACCGGTGTCCAAAACTTGGCGGTGCGCACAAGGGGGTGGAGGGAGGGGGGAGGGCTTCTTAGAAGGAGGCTGCTTCTCAGAAGGCGCCGGCCTTACATCTATAGATCAGGCCCGCGCCTTCTAAGAAGCAGAGGTGCTTCTAAGAAGCCCTCCCCCCTCCCCCTCACCCCCCTCTGCGCGTGGCTAAAAAACGTGGACGTCGGAGCACCCCACCTGACCTCGCACGATCTTCACTGGCGGATTGTGGAGCCAACAGCGCCTCTTCGAGAGAAAGGGGCGGCCACCAGCAGCAGACGAGCCGCGTGCGGCGGAGAGGGGGCTGCCAAGCATCGCCTTGTCTGCTGCCCGGCGCGCCAGGCCGCGCGGCAACAGGCGGGGCATCCGGACGTGCGGCAGCTGGAGGCCACCAGTGCCCCCACGGCTGCGAATGAATTCCGCCGGGGGCGAGAGATTGCGCGGGGCCCCAGCGCTCATCTCCCCGACCTCGGCATTCCTGACAGGGCTTACACGCTAGGTGAGGCCCCAGACTTTGTCACGGGCGACGTCGACGCAGACGGCTCGCTGCTGCACGGCCAGCACGCCGCCATCAAGCGAACGGGGTAGTGTTTCGCGCAAGTCGACGACAGCGGCGAACAAACTTTCGCCGCGTGCGGGCCGCTGCCGCGGCCACTGGATGAGCAGTCCGTTTGCAGAGCGGAGCTGCACGCAGTTTGCGTGGCCTTGCAAGCAGGAAGGTGACGCTCACGATTTGGCCTGACTGCAAAAACGTACTGGACGGCTTCGCTCGTGGCCTAGAACGGTGCACGCGCTGTTCGAATCCGCATGCCGGCCGGTGGAAATGTGCCTGGCTCCTTGTTTCGGAGTTAGGCGGGCTGGGCCCACAGGTGGTCCAGATCAAACAAGCAGAGGCACATGCCACGGTAATGGAGGATGACGATTAATAAATGACCGGGGGTCGTGTTCACGCGGCGGCGCCCGGGATGACGATTAGAAAAAACCGGCCGCGGGCTGGAAAACTATGTTTTAAAATCGTTGTCCTCCAGTCCGAAAATTGTGCAGAAATGGCAGACAACTATTTGTTTAATCGTTCTCCCCCATTTTTTATTAATCGTCATCCCGCATTAGTCGAACGCCGAGCCACAGGCGTGGAGCAGTGTCAGGGCAGCAGGGCCTCGGACAGAGGGGCAAAGCTGGGAGCAGCCTCGCTGGCATACCCAGACTGGCACGCAGAGAAGGTCCTGCGCACTCTGGAGCGTGTCCAAAGCACTTTGCAACTCAGCGCGGAGGTCCTTGCCCTGCCATCGGATGTAGTTGACACGGTCAAGGACGGGCCGATGCAAGCCCCGAGTGCTACTGGGACGGGTACCGGGGTCGTGGAGCATCGCAGGGGGGTCGGGGAAGCGGAAGGACCCTCTGAGGAGGCTGGACGCCCCTCGGCCAAGCTGGGAAGACCACCTGAGGGCCCAGACGCGGCTCTTAGGGCAGAGCTGGCACGGAGAAGTCGGCACCAGCTCGAGGTCCGACCAAACTGTGCGTTCTGCAGAGTGCGTGCCTGCTATTCTCAGCAGGGTTGGCAGGGTCTCAGCAGGAGCGAGTGCAAGTGCAAACGCGCCACAGCACAAGGCACACTGAAACGTCTGTGGAAGGGCCAGCACCCGACCACAGAGATGCCTTTGGGTTGAGGGCCCCTGGGCAATGACAGGTCCCTTATACACGGTAGAGGTAGGACCCAAGGTATCCTGCTTATCCTGTTTATCCTCGTCCTCCTCCTCCCTCTTCCTCCTCCTCCGTCACATCCTGCCTCTTGACCATCCTCCTCCTCCTCCTCCTCCAAATCCTGCTCCTCGCGCGTGGCCAGGCGCGCCTCGGGTTCGTCTCAACGGCCGAGACGAGGGCGTGCAGCAGCATACTTGGCTGCACGGATCTGGGCTCGGATCTGCTGGGCGGATAGAGGAGGAGCAGAAGGGGAGGGATCAAAGACGGAATGCAAACCATTAAAAAGCAGGAACGCATGCACTATGACCTCAAGTTTCTGAGGGGTGGGGTTGACAAGCCCGAATCTAGGAAAACTTCCCGAGGGGATCGGCCGACCCAGGGAACTGGACCAACAAACCTCGAATTTGGGGCAAGTCCAATAGTGGCTAAAGCTGTCTGTGAGACCTGGACATCCTAACATACATCTGGACTGGGTCTGGAAACTGCTATCCGTACACCACCCCCCACTTAAAGTTTTGAGGATCGCCGACCGCCACGAGGGAGGGAGCGAGGCCATCACGACACGAAAACGATGCCAATCGATCTGCGCGATTTCCTGAACATAGTCTGGGCACCATTTTCTGAGACGCTTCTCGAAGGTGAGGTGGAGCGAGTCTGGGTACAGCCTCTCACAGATGGCGCGGTACAATATCCGCTGGGGGTGCAGAGCTTTATCAGGAACCTCTGGGCGATCCCGACGAGCTTGCTTCAAAGTCCCCAGGGCTACCTGACAAGGCGGACCAAACTTCGGGTGCGCTGGGAAACCTTTTGAGGCCTGCTCGAGGGCGAGGGCTATCGGCGGGGACTTCCAGAAGTCGGGAGACAGACGGCCTCTGAAAACCTCAGGAAGCGGAAGACACATATCTGCAGTTTCCCGTAGCTCCTGCATGGCGGGGCGCCAGGCGTCGAACGTGTACAGGCTCGCTCGCATGAGCGAAGCTAAACTGAGCGCCAACATGCTGGTAAGCTTCGGGCCGCCGCTCTTCTCCAAGTTCAGCCAATCAGAGTGTTTAAGGCGACTGTGAGGCATATGGAATATCTTGGATAATTGCACGAACTCTTTCCCGAGGAGGGCAGGCGGCAGGTGCAAATACTGGGCAACGTACGACAGCACCGTCACACAGCGCCTGTTGTACGTCCTAGCAGAGACCTCGGTACTCGCGCCCAAACGGGCAACTCCACTGCACCTATGATAATACTTCAGCTGAGGCGAAGCCCAAGAGTCGTATTCTGCAGACGGGCCTATCCAGAGGCCAAGGTATTTGGCCAACGATGCCACCCGAAAGTCGCTCCAGTCGGGGATGTTCTGCCTGAGCCAGTTTTTGATCCTCGCCGCTAAGACGTCCGTGAAGACCGAGCCCAAGGGGACCAAAACGCACTTCGCGGGTTTCAGCTTCAGTCGGGCAATCGCTTCAGCTTCCTTAAACACGGTGTGAATTCGCCGAAGGTGTCGGAGATCGCGGAGCGTCATGCCTATGTCGTCTGCACAGGCTCGGGTACGACCTTTATTACGGGCGTCTGTGATGGCCCTGAACTTTTGGAGGAACGGGTCCACGGCAACCGAAAACAAAGAACCAGATCCAGGACAGCCCTGAATAATGCCACTAGTCACCAGGAAGAGCTCCAGAACTTGGCCAGCAAGGGCCCCAAAGCACATAACATTGATATATAGTAAGGATATGTAGAACTTGAGCGGGTCAGGCATATCTATCGAGTTAGTCGCCTCTAGGATCCACTCCTGGGACACGGACGGGAAGGCTTGGCCGAAATCGTAGCATCCTAGTACAGGCTGGTTCTGGGGGTTCTGGAGGCCAAAGACCCGAGCCGAGGCGTCGAGGTCGATGATATTGTTCCCAAAGTTCCGCCCTTGGACGAACCCCTTCTGGATCGTGTCGAGCCCCTGCGGGAGCCTTCGGTTAAACGACGCAAACACCGCCCCCGTGATGATCTTGTTATCACTGCTTTTCAGTCCCAGGGGTCTGGTTTCAGCCGGGGTGCGGATCGCACCAGAAACGTCGTTGGCCTCCTCACCCTTGGGGGCGAAAACGCCCAGCAAGAAGTTATAGTCCTCCGTGAGGACATTGCCTGCCAGCATATGCTGCATGCTGTTGAACAAAATCTCAACGCCGTGCGGTGCGCGCTGCCACGCTGCATAGGGGAGTTGGTCAGGCCCTGGAGCAGAGTGGGGAAGTCGACGAAGGTGAGCCTGTAGCGAAGCATAAGTAGGAGGAGGCATGTCTCGTGCACGCACCTGCACAGGAAACTCGCGAAGAAAAGCACGGGCTCGCTCAGCATCAATAGGCTGACCTGTAAACACCTGGCCCCAGTGTTGCTTCAGCTGCTGGTTTATCTCCGACGGCGTGTTGTGAACGTTTCCCTCCTGATCCTTCACCCCCGTCAAGTACACCCTCCTATCGAATGGGCTCCGCAGCTGCTCCACCTTAGCCATCCTCTTCAGCCTCTCCCTCATCCTCCGCTCCTTCTGCTCATTGGTCTGCTGCTCAGCTGCTCGGGCAACGCGGTGCCTCTGACGGGTCGCCACTTCGCTGTGCACCTGATTCGACATAACAGTGAACCGATCTGGGTCAGAAAGGGTGACCTCGGACTGCTCAGCATCGACTGAGACCATCTCGCGAGCCAGGGGGTGAGACCTGCGAAGCTTGAGGGCCAGCTGCACGTCTTGGCGGAACACGGCACGGGCGATGCTCCTGAGCACCATGAAACGAGCGGCCAGGGACCTCGGTTTCCTGAAAATGATCGCCGACCTCGCATATCGGGCCGCCTCAATCATCAGAGTTTTGTAATACTGGTGTAAACGTCCAGGGGGAAGATGTTCAGCTGGCTCAGCCTCAATAGCCAAAGTCAGGAACTCGCTGTATTCATCTGAGAAGAAAATGTCCTTGGGCATGGGCCTATCCTCGGGCCTCGGGGGAGCACGCACCTGGAGGCAAGCCGAGACAGCAGCATGGTCTGAAACCCCTTTCGCCTGGAGGACCTCAGGGAACCCGACCACCTCCCCGCCCTTGGAGTACTGCGAAAGCACCCATCCAGGAAGCGAAACCCAAATCCTATCTATGAACGAGAGGAACTTAGTGCCTGGGTGGTAGTGTGTGGGGTCTTCCACTTGGAGCTCCGTCAGCCTGCCTAGCACTTCCTGCCAAGCACGAGGTGGAGGAACCTGCGGTGGTGGCACATGCCCGTCTGGAGATAGAGGACGAGGAGGAGAGTGACCAAAATTGAAGTCGCCAGCTAGCACCACGAGACGTCGCAGTGGGTCGGCAGCGGCTGCATCGATATCTACTTTAAGGTGGTCCATGAGCGTAAGTATATGTGCACGTGATAAATCATGATTGTGAACGTTGTAATGATCAAGACTAGCTCGGTTATCATGTGAACGGATACGTGTGATAAGGACTCGCCCAGGGACCAGAGGAATGGAGGAGACTACAGGGAGGGGGGCTCCAAAAATGGTCTGGCGATCCTCAGAGGGGGTGAATTTAGGGAAGAAAGTGACGACGCCTCCAGTGCGCTCAGAGGAGGGGTGGAAGGAGGAGGCGAAGGAGAGAGACGACGCAAGGTTCGACTGGTGAAGAAACTCACCAATCTCCGCAGCGGTGCCATGCACCTCTTGCACAGCCGTCAGAGCTCCAGGCCGAAGAAGCTTCTTGAGATACTGCAACTTGTCAGCCCGGCTCTGGGGGGCATGATGTAGAAGCGCAGCCGCATTCCAAGTTGCGAAACGGTACGGTAGGGATGGATTGCACGTGCCTCCCCACAGCACGTTCACGTCGCTAAAGGCTCCATTCTGGGGCGCTGCCTGCTGCACGCAACGCCATCTTGATGGGCTGCTCGATGCGGGCTCTCTCGATGTTCTCAGCCACCAAGTTCTGCTCCGCGAAGAGCACGGTAGGGGTCTCCTGGTCCGCCTGCGGCTGCACATGCACAAGCGGCTTCCAGTTCGTGCTGACCGAGCCTTTGAGTTTGTCCACGTAGAAGACATTGTGAGGGTACGCGTCGGTGAGGATGCGCTTGACGGTCTTACACGCCATTTCTTTCTGCACCATCGCGGGGTTCTTGTCGGGGCCAACATATACTTCTGCCACTTCGCCACTGACAGCGGGAGCTGTAAAGCGCCGCCATTGGCCCTGTGGGCTCGTCGGCCGAAGAAGAGTGAGAAGATGCTGTACACGTCGACTGGCAAAGCCCACGGCGCCAGCCAATCGCACGGTAAATCGCTTGCTGGTCGGGTCGCCCTCCAAAGCCCATTCGCCATCGGGGATCGAGCCCTCCTGGAACCAAGGCGTGAGCGCGGTCTTGACCTCGGACATGCTGGTCTGGTGCTTGCACCTGGCCACGATGATGCACGGGTCGATGTCACGGTTGAATCCAGCACCACCTCCAGTCGCACGAAGGACGGGCGCAGGAGTCGAGCTCTTCGCATCATGAAGTAGGTCACGTAGGCGTTTGACGTCGGTCTCCAGGGACTGGATCCGCTCGGTGTGGTTATTGATCGAGTTCTGCATCGGGGTGAGCCTGGCCTCGAGCGTGTGCGTGATCGACCCGCAAGAAGCTGCCACCTTCTTGCCAACCTCGCCCAGCTGCGAGCTGACAGACGCCTGAATGTTCTGGATCTCGCCCAGAAGGTCCGACTGCACCTGGTCCACGTAGTCCTTGAGCTGCGCCGCTGATAAGGCCTGATGGCCCATCCTTCCAGGCTCGTCAGGTTGATGACGCTTGGTACCTTGGTCGCCTCCGCCGCCGCCTCCACTGCCAGCCGCCGAAGCCGCCGATGCCAGTCCGCCAACTGCACCACGGATGAGTCCAGAGACCTGGGCCGCCATGGCTTCTGCTGTTCGCTCTGTGGGAGATAGCCCCTGCTACTTCGGTAGAGCACCCAAACAAACAGAAGGAAGGTGCCTCTGCACCAGGACTGGGGGAGTGATCGAGAGATCGCGCTGACAAGCCGACCGCCCGAAAGCCTGAGCCAGCTTACGGATTCTCCCAAAGCTAATCGCTACACCTCGGCCCGCGGCCTTCGTAACGTTTAGCCTTGAGCCAAAATGGCTACGGACCTCCAAATCCTGCTCCTCCTCTGCCTCCTCCTGCCCTCTCCTCCTCCTCCTCCTCCTCCTCCTCCTCATCATCACCACCACCACCACCACCATCACAACTATAATAATCATCATCATCATCATCATCATCATCATCATCAGCAGCAGCAGCAGCATCGTCATCACCACCACCACCACCACCACCAGGACCACCACCACCACCACCACCACCACCATCATCATCATCATCATCATCATCATCATCATCATCATCAACCTCAACATCAACATTAAAATCAACACCACCACTCGAATAATCATCATCAGCATCAGCATCATCATCAGCATCATCAGAATCAACATCACCACCATCATCATCATCAGCATCACTATCATCACCATCATCATCATCATCATCATCAGCATCATCATCAGCATCATCATCATCATCATCAGTATCGTCGTCTGCGTCATCATCATCAGCAGCATCATCAGTATCATCACCAGCATCATCATCAGCATCATTAGCAGCATCATCAACAGCATAATCATGATCCTCCTAACCAACATAATGATCATCATGATGAGCATGCTCATCATCATAATCTGCATACTCATCATCAGTAGCATCATCAGTAGCATCATCATCCGCATCATCATCCGCATCATCATGATCATGATCATGATGATGAGCATGATCATCATCATCATCATCATCATCATCATCATCATCATCATCATCATCATCATCATCATCATCATCATTATTATCATGATCATCATCATGATCATGATCATCATCATCATCATCATCATCATCATCATCATCATCATCAGCAGCAGCAGCAGCAGCAGCAGCATCATCCTTATGCTCACCCTCATCCTCGTCCTGCCTCATCCTCTGGCCTCCTCCTGCATCCCCTTGAACCTCCTGCCTCCTCCTGTGGCCTCAACGTGCCTCCCGTTGCCTCCTGGAGCCTCCAGGGGCTCCTGGAGCGGTCTCCTCCTTGAGCCTCCCGCCTCCTCCTGGGGCCTGCTGCTGCCACCCGGAGCCTCCTGGGCCCTCCTGGACCCTTCTGGGGCCTCCCCTGACCGCCTGGGGCCTGGGGTGCTCCTGGGACCTCCCAGGGCCTGGGCCTCCCTGGGCTTCCTGGTGGCTCTGGGGCCCTCCTGCGGCCTCTGGGGCTCCCCGGTGCCTCCTGGTTCCTCCTGAAGCTTCCTGTGGCTTCCTGAAGCCTCCTGGAAATTCTTGTGGCCTTCCGAAGCTTTCCGATGACTCCCGCTCGAGACTTCCTCGCCACTCACTCGCTGACGAGGCTCCCGTTCAACAAGTCCTCTAGACTGAAGCCTGTGAGCCGAAGCATGACGCAGTTACAGAATTTGAATGCCACCGCTCGGACTCCAAAATGGAGGTGGTAACCTTATAGGTAGGGCAGATTCAGGCCGGATGAACCCAATGACCAACACGAAGTGCGGGCCCCATAGGGCGGGGGGCCCCGCTCGGTGCTCAAGTGCTATGCCTGGCAGAGTTTGTTGATGACCCGGTCGGATTGCCAACATGAAGTGTGGGCCCCATAGGGAGGGGGCTCCCGCTCGAGACTTCCTGCTAGGTGAGTATATGTGCGTGTCTATGGTGATGATGAGTGATGATGATGATGAGGTGGTGATGATAGTGTGATTTCGAGTGAGTGCGAGTGGATGCGTGATTGTGTGTGAGGCGATGATGGTGAGGGTGATGGTGAAGGTGACGATGATGATGATGATGATGATGTTGATGATGGTGATCATGATGAGAATGTTGGCGAAGCTGCTGATAATGATTATGATGATGATAACAATGGTAACTACGATGACAATGACGACGATGGTGATGGTAATGGTGACGGTGGGGGTAATGGTGATGATGATGGTCATGATGATGGTGGTGATGGTGATCGTGATGGATGGTGATGATGATGACGACGACCATGATGATGATGATGATTATGATGATGACGATGATGATGATGATGATGCTGATGCTGACGATTGTGATGCTGATGACGATGATGATCACGATGACGATGACCATGATGATGATGATGATGATGATGAGGAGGAGGAGGAGGATGATGCTGGTGATTATGCTGATGCTGATGATGACAATGATGAAGCTGCTTGGGTCTGTAAGTGCGTGAGTGAAGAAAAGAGAAGGGAGGGGGAGGAGGAGGAGGAGGAGGAGGAGAGGAGGAGGAGGAGGAGGAGGAGGACGAGGAGGAGGAGAGGGAGGAGGAGGAGGAGGAAGAGGAGGAGGAGCAAATCCTGCGCGGGGTGTGTGTGCAGAGAAAACGAGAAGTCCCCCTTCACTGGCGCGCGAAGCGCGCCAGGGGCGGCGCCGGAGGCGCAGCGAGGGGGGACCCAGCGCAGATCCGAGACACCGAAGCGGAACTCAGATTTGTCTTGCTCGTGCCACCTTTTTGCGCTTCCCATCCTTGCCGGCCCAGCAGATGCTCTTGAGGACCCGCTTCTGCCTCGTCGCCCTGTCGAGGATGATGGAGACCGCGCCCGACAGGCCCTCCCCCGCGATGCCCTCGGTCCTGACGTAGCGGTCTCTCAGCAGCGCGTCCGTCACGACGCGGAGGCTGCCCGGGCTCCGGGGCAGGCTCGACGTGGCGCGCCGCAGCACCCGCGCCCTCTCGGGGCCCACCTCCGAGGAGCCAGGAAGGACATCTGAGCTTAAGTCGGGCCTGTCCTCCTACGGGGGGATTTTCGACGAAAAATCAAAACATACCCGCAAAATGCTCCAAGAATATTCCAAAAATAGCTGGGGACTATTTATTGAATATTCTTTTACCTTTTTGGGGCATTTTTGGGGTACTTCTTATTTTTCGTCGAAAATCCCTCTGTAGGGGGGACAGGCCCGACGTAAATCTAAGCATCGAGCTGTCGGAGCTCGGCGCGGCTTTCTCGGGTCTGCGCCAAGTCGATCCTGGCGGCACCTCCATCTGTATTTCAGCAAAGCAGTCGAGGCCACCTCGACCATCGTGACCGTAAAACACGAAATCGAAGATGCGCTACAGCGTGAGACAAAGAACAGCAAACTGCAAAAATGACAGTCCTGTGCGCATTGTATTGCAACAAGCCGTGAAACGAAGAGGAAACGGGCCAGAGAAATGAGACGGGACCCGTGAGTCAAGGCGAGGCCAGAACGAAATCACACACACACACAAGAGGCCAGAGGAGGTGGAGGAGGAGCAGTGTAAACCCAAGACTTCTCAACGAGGTTGAAATAAATCCTCCCTCCAAGCTCCCTCCTCAGAATTAGGCTCCTACAAACATTTATGTCCACTGAGAGAAATGCCCCCCCCGTTGGGAGACAACCGTTGGAAGATCCCAAATCGTGCAAGAGCACCATTCTTGGAACCCGAAGGCCACGAATCAACCTGACTGTTGCGTCTTGACGATCCTGATTCGCGTCAGAACACCATTCCTAAGACATCAACATTGCGAATCAACGTAACTTCTGCGCCCTGGCAATTCTGAATGGGAATCCGTGAAACTTTTGCAAATTGTTAAGACGAGTGTGCTCGGCGCTGAAGCGGGAGCCACATTTTGAAAAGGAACCGCCCTCAATATGTAAAACTGTTGCATGTTTGACACGAATGTGCGCGGCACTAAGGCGATAACCACGTTTTGAAAACCACCCGCCCTTAATCCGTGGAATTCCTGCAATACTGTACTTCGGCCGAGTGTGCGCGCGGCGCTCAAACGAAAACCACAGGTTGAAAACTATCAACCCTCAATCCGTTAAACTCTTGAGATATCCTAAATCGCATCTGAAGGGCGCTAAGGCGAGAACTTAACTTTCAACACGACCCGGCCTTAAAGCCGTTGCCAATTTCTGAGCTTCAGGATCATAAGTGGTGTACAAATCTCAAGCGAAACGCCGGGCCCGCCCTTCCGACTGGCCTCGGGGTGCGACACGGATGAGTTCTTTTATCAGAGTGAGGGGGCTGAACTGAAAGGTCATTCACTGTCCCTGGGTGCATGGCTGAAATGGAATTCCGCGATCCGGATTATTCTTGTTGTTGTTGTTGTCGTCGTCCCATCCGCGATCCGCCCCGCGACCCGCCCGCGACCCACCCCGCGACCCACCCGCGACCCACCCCGCAACCCACCCGCGACCCGCCCCGCGACCCACCCGCGACCCACCCCGCGACCCACCCGCGACCCACCCGCGACCCACCACGCGACCCACCCGCGACCCATCCCGCGACCCACCCGCAACCCACCCGCGACCCACCCCGCGACCCACCCGCGATCCATCCCGCGACCCACCGGCGACCCACCGGCGTCCCACCTCCCACCGCGCGCCGCCACCCGCGCCCGCGGCGACCCACCCCGCGACCCCCGCGACCCACCCGCGACCCACCCGCGACCCACCCGCGACCCACCCGCGACCCACCCGCGACCTCCACGACCCACCCTCGACCCACCCCCCGACCCACCCCGCGACCCACCCAAAATTTTCGGCGCCTGCGGCGGGTTTCTTTTGCATTCGTTCCAAGAAGAGAACCCTGCGACCCACCCGCGACCCACCCGCGCCCGCGACCCACCCGCGACCCACCCGCGACCCACCCCGCGACCCACCCAAAATTTTTCCAGCGCCTGCGGCGGGTTTCTTTTGCATTCGTTCCAGGTGGAGAACCTGCGACCCACCCGTGACCCAAACCGCGCTCAGTGTACAAATCAAAATGTTCGGCGCCTGCGGCGGGCTGTTTTTGAATTCCTTCCAGGTGGAGGTGGAGAGCCCGCGACCCACCCGCGACCCAAACTACGTTCACTGAACAAGCCAATACCTCGGTGCCTGCGGCGGGCTTCTTTTGCATTCGTTCCAGGTGGAGAACCTGCGACCCAAACCGCGCTCAGTGTACAAATCAAAATGTTCGGCGCCCGCGGCGGGCTGTTTTTGAATTCCTTCCAGGTGGAGGTGGAGAACCCGCGACCCACCCGCGACCCAAACTACGTTCACAAAACAAGCCAACAATTCGGCGCCTGCGGCGGGTTGTTTTTGCATTCGTTCCGGGTGGCCCACCACCGATTCCCCCCGCGCTGAACTTGTCAGAGCACGCAAATCGGCGCCTGCGGCGGGCTTGCTCGCATTGGTTAGGAGGAGGAGGAGAAGGAGGAGGAAAAGGAGGAACGGGAAGAGGAGGTGGAGGAGGAGGAGGAGGCGGACGACGACGACGACGACAATGAGGACAAGGACGCAGACGAGGAAGAGGAGGAGGAGGAGGAGGAGGAGCGGAGGAGGAGGAGGAGGAGGAGGAGGACGAGATGCTACGGAGGAGGAGGAGGAGGAGGAGGAGAAGTTGCTGGCGCCACCAGCAGGAAACAACTGCGTGGCAGACCCACAATGTGCATGTGTCCCCGCTGACGCCACGTCCGGTGGTACCTCACACAGATACGGAGTACAATATGAGTACGTAGCACCCCGCAATTGCGGATAAGAGTGAGGGGGCGGGCGCGGGCAACGCGGGCGTCGTCGAGCCGGCGGACCTCGTGGCCCCCACCTTCCCTGTCGATGGCGCTCTCCTCCTCCTCCTCCTCCTCCTCCTCCTCCTTCTCCTCCTCCTCCTCCTCCTCTTCCTCGTCCTCGTCCTCATCGTCATCGTCATCCCCCTCCTCCAACTCGTCCTCCTCCTCCTCCTGCAAAACCCCGAGGAGGGTTCTGCACGGGAGCTTGGCGACAATGATAACGATAGGTCACCTTTATACTCCCGAACTGCGCAACTGGTCGATGTGACTTCGACCGTGAAACACTTGAGCCAAAGGCAGCGGGGTTACTATTCCTCCCCTGTCACACGCATGCTTGCATGTTAACACCCCCCCTCGGACGCCAGTCCGCATTGGCTGACGGGGAGGTGCTTGTAAACACAAAGACAGGTTAAATCAAGCGACAGGCTGCGTGAGTATCGTCACACTGCCGAATTCGAAATATCTCATAACCACGTTCACGAGCACCACGTCTCTCAGACATGCAACGTGAGCTCAAGTAAACATTCAATCAGTTACGAGTTTAAAAGTAGCATCCAAAGTTCACACGGCAGGCTAGCATTTACATGGTTTTGATTGCTTTCGCTTTTTATGCGCCAATACCTGCGGTAACTATAAAAGATGCACATGCAAATAGATTCAGCTCAATAGTCTACTGCAACGCTATTGTTAAGCCTGGTTGAGAGGGGAGATGAGAGCGAGCGTAAAAGAAAGACATGCCGGTCACCTGTCACCGTTTACGACCGGCGCGGGCGCCTCACTGACGGAGCACGCGCGCCCCTGGACTGCGGTAAACCACGGTGCCCCACGCTGGCCGCCGTATAGGACGACACCCTGTTAAGGGCCTGCGTCGGGCTGTAATAGTCGGTGTCCAGGTACGCGTTAATGCGCTCCTCGTCGTCCAACCAGCACCCCTCGTCAAAGCTCTTGGTGGACCCGTCAACAATATTGTGGTAAGTACCAATGGCCCTCCAGTAACTGGCGTGGGGAGCCTTCAGCAGAGGTTTACCACCTGGATTGTTGCGGAGGTGCTCCTCGACCGCAACTCCGGTAAACGGGTTCACAGTCCAGTACGGGTCGGTAAGCCAGTTGGCAAAGTCGTCACACGGCAACCACCCAAACCAACAGAGCTTCTCGCGGTGGTCACTTTTACGCTCGGTAATGTGATCCGCAGGCCAGTTGTCACGGTAGAGCGCCCTCATGGACCCCTGGTCGTTAAGAGCGACCTCCAGGATGGTCTGGTGCCAGTAAACCGGGGGCTTGTTGATGCTGCCCTTTAACTCCTCGGCGCTCCTGACCTCAAGATCCTCGATGAAGTAGTTGCGGTAATACACCTGGAGGCCGTTCATGTAACGACAATAGAGCTTGGCGAGGTCGCGCGTCGCAAACCTGATCACGGTAACCCCAGTTGATATGTAGCCGTGCGGTCCGTAAGTGTCTTCCACCAGGTGCTTAACGGAGACCACGGCGGGGTTGCCGTGGGGCAGCATCCCGGCCCACGTTAGCAGAAGGCCGTTAAGTTGTTTCTCGTTCATTTCTGGCGCCTTGTTGACGTAGACCTGCGTGTCTGGGCAGCTGTGAACGTCGAACCACACTGGGTGGAGATCGTTAACGTGAATCGGCGGCACGTACTCGTCGTCGAACAGGGATTGTACGTGCCCGACCGCGTCAACCCACTCGTCGTGATTTTCCAGCTCCTTCTCCGTCAACTGAGACCTCCAGCTGCTTGGGCCCTTTAACACGGAGTAACCAAGGAAGCCGTAGGCGTGCTGCCCGTAAATGTCGACGAACGCCTCATCGTAGTCGTTGGGTTCCCGCCCCGTGTTGCCCGGAATAGATCGACCACCTGGAGTCGTTAACCCCTCTTTTGCCACATGTCCGACGAAGTTGCCTTCGAACCTGCGCCAGTTGTCGCGCGTCTTTATCGTTAATGCGACTACCTCCCTGGGGTCGGGCTCCACCTTGTAGTTGACGTCGTGGTCCTCGCTCTTGTCGTTTACCATAGGCATACGGCCGTTGACATGATACAGTGGCCGGTACATGCCCCTGGCGACGTTCCGCGAGTATGCCGCAAGCTGCTCGTCCGTACGGTTAACAGCTTGAGGCTGCGGTGGAGGAACATACTGGGTCGATAACTTCTTGGGCACCGGA